ATCTCATTTTTTATTATCGATTTTCGATGTTTTTCGGCACTACCAATATTAATATAACTGTTTTTTTTCTATCACATAGTTAGTTTCGAAAAAAATCAGTGTTACGAGCAGATGCTATAATATCGTTTGTATTGGCCGTTGTGAAACATCTCGAAAATTTCTTTAGTTGTAATAGTGTAATAGTTCTGATTCTTTATTTTACGAAACTTGGGAGAGAAAAGTAAAAGACAATATCTTTCTTATCAGTTAAATTTTTGCTTTTTTAAATTCAAAAAAAAAATTACACTTAACACTTTCCTCTTTCTAACCAAGAACAAAAAAATAAATGCAAAATTTTTGTTTCATCCATTATCATTAATACTCTTACATAGAATTGAAAGTACATATTACATTTTGATAGCAGCAGTAACAATTCTATTTATATAATATTTCACCTTACCATTATACTAAATATTCATGTGCTTTATTTATCTATTGACAAATCGTCTTTTGTTTTTGAACCTTATAAATTCGTTTTCTTCTTACCCTTTTCACAAAGCACTCGAATACATTTAATTGTACCATGACTAGCAGCAACATGTAAAGGTGTCATGCCTTGAGAATCTCTTTGATCAATTAATGATCCACTCTCAAGAAGTTCAGATACAAGTTGTCCATTACCACTAACACATGCTTCATGTAATGGTGTACGTTGTAACATATTTTGTGTGTGTACACTTTGACCACACTAGAAATAATTAATATAATACAATGCAAAAAAAAAAAGAAAAAGAACAAGAAAAAACCTCAATTAATTTTCGAACAATATCAAGATGTCCATATGAAGCTGCTTCATTTATAATTGGTTGAAATGATTCTTTAAGTTGAATAACTTGACTTGTATCATATTCACCTTTAGCATCTCGTTGTTGTAATTTTTCAATAGTTTGAGTTGATACATTTTCTTCATCGATATTATTCATTGTATCACTTACATTTGTACTAGTACGATCTAATTTAACGAATGTATCAATAGGTATTGCTTCTTGTTCATTATTTGATTCATCTTCAGATGATGTTGGTGATTTATCATTATCACTACGTAATAAAGCTGATGTATCATCAGATGATGTTGATGATGAAGAAGAAGAACGTGATGATTTTGGTTCTTCATTATTATTAATATATTTATTATCACTATGAGATTGTGCTGAAACAGCAGTTTTAGGACGAGATGATGATGATGATGATTTTAGACGTTCTTGTATTTTTTCACTTGGAGTTGATGATCGTTTTTGTTGTTGAACAATTTCAGGTGATAATAATTCATTATCGCCTGATTCATTTTTTTCATTTTCTTTTTGTTCTTCATCATTAATATCTTCAACACTTGGTGGCATATACATTTCTTGTGATGGTCGATTATAATCGAGTGATGAATTAGTTATTCTAATATCATCATTATCTTTAGATGTTGAAAGTGTTCCAGATAATTCACATGCTGATTTATCAGTTTGTCTACGATAATTTGAATCAGGATCACTCTTTAAATTAAAAAAAAACGTTTAAACAAAAAAACAAGAAGATTTTATTTTATCTTTCGAAAATATACCACAGGTTTAAGTGATTCAAGATCTTCTTCATCACCTTCACTTTCACTATCATTTTCATCAACATTATCAATATCATCTAATTCAGTTAAATGACTTTCAACAAGTCGTGCCATATTTACTGATGGTGTTGTATCAAATTTAACTGATTGTTTTCCACTTATTGATGATATTTGTCTATTATTTGATTTTGATGTTGCTGGTTTAGAAATTTTTTTATATTCAATAAATTTAATTTCATCATCAGCTCGTATTTTATCTTCATCAAATTCTGCTTCGTCATCATCATTATCATTATCAATCGGAATATCTTTTATTAAAGCAGCTATATTTGGATTTCGTATACCATATAAACTTGATGATTTTGATACATTTGGTAGAATTTGTTTTTTTAATTTTTGTCGATCATTTTCAATTTGTTGTTGTAATAAATGATCACTAACACGACCATGTCTACGACCTTGTTCATCTAAATAAACAACGGGTTTAAATGTTTCAAGTGGTCTACGTATTGGTTGAATAAATAAATGATCTTGTACACAATTTGAAAATGATGAATTTGATGGTGTAACTAATTTTGTTCGTCGCTTATTTCGAATTAAACTTGCCATAAGAATATACTAAAATAAATTAATAGTTTTAAAATCAAACCGCTCGTATTGATTCCAATATTTGTTTAGTTTCATACAAATAGAAAAACACGTTTTAAAATTCAGATGTATGAAGAAATCATAAAAAAAAGAAAAGAATGCAAATATTCCATCGAATAGCAAGAACAAAACAAAAAAACAATAAAATACACTTTGAAGAAATTTCATTGCTACCATAATTGTGTACTATACCAAAGATGGACAAAATCGCACCGCGCCACTGCTCGCGCCTAGGCGCTACGCACATCTCTCTTTCTCTTTGCTCTACCAATCAGTTTCTCAAACTCCACCGAATACCGAGATGCTCTAAGCATGCGCTCATCGAAGCTCAGACTAGTGTAGCGTAGGCGTGAGCAACGGCGCGGGGAGGCGCGGTGCGACTTTGTCCATCTCTATACTATACATCCTTTTATAGACGAAGCAATATTTTAGTCTACTATAATTCTATTGCAAGATTGATTTTTCTGATTATTTGTCAATAATTTTATATTCATACCACTTTGACTAACAATCAACTATTTCTAGTATTCAAATGCTAATTGTCTTATCAAATATTTTCGTATTGGTAACCAATCCTTCGACGTAATAATGTCATCTATGCAATGACTATTATTAACGTTATGACTATAGAAGAGATTTTTATTGATTAGAGTGATGACGGCATCAAGAAAGTATATTATTCATTAATAAAAAAAGCTTTACAACCAACAATCTGACTTGAGTAAAGAAAACCAATAATAACATATGTGATATTCAAGTGCAGTAGTACTAAACAGTGATAAAATATGTACACACGATGTTATTGAAAACATTTGTCTATTTTTTTCTCGCTCATAATCTTTTTGAAGATGACAGCGATATTTATTTAATGAGTGATCTCAATAGAAAACAAAGCGCGTTCATGAAATCAACAAAAATAGTATACTATTATATTTTGCTATAAAGTTCTCTTAAGATAATGTGTTAGTGACTTCAATAATTCATTCATTAACAGTAATACAATCGTTTAGCCTTTTAAAATAATTACAAAAATGTCATCAAAATGCATATGATTTTATTACCAAGAAGAACTATACAGTACGCAACGCAATGAAATAATGGTTATTCTTCTATTATTGATGATTCTGCAGGAGATATATTAACTGCAATAAATTGAATCATTCAGTTATGGATTACTTAACAACACATTTTTTTTTAATTGTAATTCAATTTACAAAAGATTATAGTCGTTGGACATTAATTGTAAAGGAAAACATTTTCAAGAAAGAGTGAAATATGAATTAGGAAGTAAACTTCACTCGAATTCGGTAATGAAAAAAAATAAAAGGTATAAATCGTGTTTAGTTGCATCCTCAAATAGATTTAATATATTAAATAATGAACTACTTAACCTCTAGACATATACTGTACGTGTTTTTTTTTACTTAAAACAAACAAACTTTTGATATGTTTGATTCATACTGAATAAATAAAAACATAAAGTTTCCCTGATAATTATTATTTTTCTCTTTCTTTTGATTTCTTTCACGCAATCACAACAATCAATACTGAGATTGAAAACAACAAAAATTTGGTGTTTGATAAGATTTTCTTTTATATTTAATGAAGTATTGTTGTGAGCTAATATTCTCAATCTTTCCTCTCTCTCTCTCTATAATGTCAGGAATACTTGGCAGATGAATACATCTCATATGATCTTATACATATCTCCTTTGATCAATATATGTTGACATACAAGCAAAAATTAACTATTGTCTACCTGAGATTAATACACATTCAAAAATTTCTATATAAATCTTTGATAATCTGTTACCATTCTATTGCGTTTATTCTTTTCAACAGTAATCAAACAATAGGATCCGAGTTGTTGTGTGTTACGATATAACACATATATTAAAATATTTGAGATAAGAATATAACTAGATCATATTTACTTATCATTTGGTTTCTTCGCCATGAAAACTAAACATATATTTATGTGAATGATTTTAATCAAATGTTCACTTCAATCCATGGCAAAATTCTCTCTAAAGTTAATTGCTAAGCAACGGATTTTTTTTTTGTGATACAGTTATAATAATAATAATAATAAAACTTTTTATACTTCTCGAAAGTGATACTATTTGATCCGAGAGAATTTATTTTTTTGAACAGTAAAATATTTTTGTGTACTAATGACATCTACAATAAGTGAACTAAACTCGTATTTACCAGTGTCTAAATGAAATGAGATAATCATGATGTTTTTAGTTTTTGCCTCAACAAAACATTCTGTAAGCAAGCTATAGCACATTTTACAATTGTAAAAGTTTTAATTGAATCATGTCTAAAAGATTTTATTCTTAGATTACATATTATCAATAAAACAAAATTGAATAAATCACTAAAGTAGATTAAATTTTGTGTATATATTTTTCTTTCAAATTGCTAGAGTATATTAAAAAAAAATAGTGGATTTTCATTTTTGACCTAATTTTTATGTTTTTATGTCTTAAAATCTGTCTCTTGACAAGCAGAATTAGGGCAATGTCATCATATTAATCTTTATAAAATGTACTTTGTACTATTTGTCAACGTTTCGTTTGCTTTCCTAAATAAATAATACTGAAATATGAGGGATTATTAGAGCAGAATAGGTTTTCAGTGAATCGAATGATAAGTCTGAGAAAATTACAATGCAAAATACCACCTGTATTTATATGAAATAAATAGCGAACTATCATCGCCATTTCGTGCTTTTTTTTTCTTGAGTCAAGCCATCATGATGATAGCACTTCGTCTTATTCTTTTTGTCGTTTTTAGGTAAGTAAATTTGTTTGTTGCTTTGTAATTTGTGTTGCATTCATTCAATTCTGTAAATTTTATTTCCTATATAATCAGTGATTAATTCATGCCCTGTTTAGTTCAAGTGTATATTCACAAACATGTCGTGGAGTTTCTCAATATGGTCAATGTTCAACTAATAATGATTGTGGTTGTCTTCCTTTGGCAAATTCTGAGAATAGTGGTATTTGTGGTTTTCTTTGGGTAGATTGTTCTCGTCTTGAATCATGTCAAACTCCTGGTAATACATGTGAAAAATCTGATCATATGTGTGTTCGTCTGCAATGTAAAAATGAACCTGTTTGTTATCCATTGTCAATGATTGATCAACGAATGTGTCCACCACTAGGGGGTAAGACAGCAAAGATTCATATATATAAATTAAATTGTTATTATCAAAAAAAAAAAAGAAGAAATACTTTTCTTTTCATTGTTTTTTTAAATCATAAGTTAAATGTGTTTCGAAAATGTACTTTCAAAGGATTTTTTTGAATTTCATAGAATTTTGAAATATTCTCTTCATTGAAAATAACTGAGGCTTTGTTGCAAAACATACATTATATGTTTTCATTTTTAATAAATAGCCACAGACGCTACAACGACAATGACTACTCCCATCCAAACAACAAGTAAGTACTATATTTTTTTTCTTGTTCATATACATGATTTCATGTAAACGATATAAAACATTGATTTGAGAAAAAAAAATCATAAAAATATACTATTTATTTTTACGATTATGTTTTACAGCCTAAATGGAATTTAATAAGATGATGAAACAAAAGTATTCTTTCTAAGTTCACTATCATGAAATTAAAATTCAATAAAATCTTATTCATAAATAAATTCATATTTTCTATACATTTAGCTATGCCTTCACCAACAGTACCTAAAGACGGTATCTGTGCAACAGCAACATGGAGTCGACAAGGTGTTACTGTAGCTGGTGGTTATGGATGGGGCAATGGACTCAATCAACTTAATGATCCTTTGGGAATATTTATTGATGCAAATCGAACTATTTATATTGCAGATACCAACAATGCTCGAATAGTCAAATGGACAAAAGGTGCTACATACGGTGAAATAGTTGCAGGTGGATATGGAGCAGGAGCTGGTACAGCACAATTATATGGTCCAATGGATGTTGTCGTTGATAAATCTGGAGCAATCTACATCACTGACACAATGAATAATCGAGTGCAAAAATGGAATCGAAATGCTAAAGTAGGTGAAACGATTTTTATAGTACAGCGTCCTATTGGTTTAGCATTAGATAATGAAGATACACTTTATGTATCTGCATCTTATCGGTCACATGATGTACTGAAATTACGTAAAGGTGAAAAAAATGGATATGTTATTGCTTCTAATTTACCTGAACTCTATTATTTGTTTGTACATCAAAATCGATCTATTTATGCTGCAGATAAAAATAATGGTCGAATATTAAAAATAGATGAAAGTAAATCACAAATTTCATTTGTTATTGGTCAATTACAAAATCTTGGTGTATCTCAATTATCATATCCACAATCTGTTGTTGTTGATCAATCTGGGTCTATCTATGTTGTTGAATACGGAAATCATCGAGTTACACGATGGTTACCTGGAGCAAAAGCAGGCATTGTAATTGCAGGTGGTCGTGGTCAAGGTTGGCAATCTGATCAACTCAATCTTCCGACTGATATAGCATTGGATCTTGATGGAAATCTGTATGTGGCAGATCGTGGAAATCATCGTGTACAAAAGTTTGAGATTGATAAGAAAACATGTCAATAGATGTAAATATCACTTAATTACTATTGTTCTTAATTATGATGTTTCTTTTTAGAATAACACAAAAAGAAAAAGATCAACACAATAATGTAATACTCATATGAAGGAACTTTATTTTGATGTTGATTATATGTATTGTTGATCAGTATTTTCATATAAGAAATTTATTCAAATAAAGTTAGCGCTTTTTATTGGGTTTTACCTGTTGAGAAAGATTTCGAAAAGATTTTTTTTTATAAGTAAATTTGATTACTTTGACAGTAGATTCTATGTCTCTAATACAAACAAATAGATATGTTTTAATGACTTGAATTGAAAAAAACAATGATTAAAATATTGAATATCACATATTGACGACTATTTAAACTTAATGTTTGTTTGTTTGGTGAAAAAGACCTATGAATAATTTCTCTCTGCTTGT